CATGGTCGGAGATTTAGTTTCTCCGGTAATCGGAAAAAAGGTAAATTGAGAGCTTCTCTCTCTCTCTCTGAGATTGGAAGAGAATGGCAGAGGAGTTTTTCGTAAAGGTTTCGACTTTTTTTTTTTGTTTTTGTGTGATTTCTAATGATTTTTGCTAATAAAGATTGGGTTTTTTATTTTTATTTTTGTAAACTAATTTTTTTCTTTTAGAGTTGCTATAAGCCAATCGTGTTAAAGAAGAGATTTTTCTAAATATTGGAAGCTTAATACTTTTGTTTGTTTTGTTATTGATATTTTAGAGAAAATAATTATTATTGATATAAATTCAGATCAAATTTTTTTATACTTATAGAAATATCATTTATTACACTTTTTATACTTATGGAAATATCATTTTGTATGTGATTTGATAGCCTATAAATCCAAAACTAAATATTTTTTTTTACAAAACTTATGGAAATATAAAGTTTTTTTTTATCCGATGTTAATAGCCGATAAATCCAAAACTAAATAATTAAGTTTATTTTGAATAAAACATTTAAATCAGAATCCAATAGTTTATATGGCGATCCACGCAATAATTTTATTTGGAATAAAACAAAATTTAAAATTTCTGCGAATTTACGTCATAAAATTCATATTTTCATTCATCTCATTATCAAATGCGGATTAATTTGATATAAAATTTAAAGATAGTTAAACTAATATTTGTTGATAAATTAGATCAAAAATCAAATAAAAAATATAGAAAATCATACTATAGTGATTTGTATTGAAAAAAAAAATCAAATTACAAACAAAATTTAGAAATTAACATATTTTCATAAAATTCATACAGTTAAATTGTTAAAATAAATTGTTTTGGGAAATTGAATCCAAACTGAAGCCAAACTATATAAAAACCAAGCTAGTTGATATTTAATTTTTCTATTTTTTCTATTTCACAAACTAAATAACCCGAAATAAACAAAAATTATACTAACCACCTCTAATTTTGGATACAACATTTATACTTACAAGAGTTAACAATACATCGCCATAGAATTATTTGCATCTTCAAATTCATATTCATTGTAATTTTATTTAATTACAACCTCATTATAAAATAGGTTTCAAGAACAATTAAAACATGTTCTTCCCTTTAATAACTCCTTCTTCAGCTCCTAAGAAAAGACCAAGG